TGCGTTTTGAAGCATAGAGAAAACCAAGTTGTTACTAAACCTACGCTTCTAGTTATGAAAGTTTCGGTATAATCATGTCATGTTGTTCACATTCTCTCATAAATCATGTGCGTTTGAAACAACACGAGTTACACTTATTCTAATATAGTCGTGACAAAAATGATTACAAAAACTAGCTACATTGCAAAAATTGACAAGACTCCCTCACCTGTGGCAAGCACTGGGTCGACCAAAAATACTCTCGAGTTCTTGGGAAATTCATCAGGCAACCTAAAGAAGATGTATCAAAGTAGTTCTAAGAAAAACTTCAGTAACTACATAATGACATAATGCTCTGCAAAGAAAGTTCTTACTTGTTAAGATACACCGTAGGCAAAAGTGTTTCCTCATCCCGACTTATTCCTGGTAAAAAGGATATTACGAGGACATCATAAGCTACAGATAAAAGTCTTTCTTCTAAACAACCACTCCTATCTTCGGGCAAGAAGAACGATATAGTTAGATTACTAACCTATATGATATATTTTATTCGCAGGCAAAACTGAGGATGCGTGTTCCGCTAGAGCAAGACCAGCTCTTAAAATCGGAACAACCTACACAGAGAAAAAAAAAGTGAAACCAAGAATAAGAAATGTGTAATTTTTGGATTAAGAAGAAAACAAGAGCTTTTGAGGGGGTAGACAAACCGCTATAGGCTCTCTAGGATCAATGAATTCAACAGTAGCAGCACCCAATGGAGACATTATTTCTCCAACAACAGTTGGCTTGCACCACATAACAAGAAACAATAAGCAAAAAACCCGTAGATATCGATATTCAAGAAAAAAAAAAGATATGTGAAACTTTATCTAAACTTTACGCACCAGCCAATCTCGTGATGCTTCATACATCAGTAGTCTCCCTAGTTCAGCTATTGCATTCCCTAACATAATCAAAAGAAATGCTTTAAAAAAAAACCTCAAGAATTTAAAGAGCAACACAGACTTTATAATAACAACATAAAAACTTGTTTTCCAAACGCAATATATTAGCAGATAACACAATCTAAAGAGCTAAAGATTGTTCACTAAATTTAAGAATTAGGCTCCATGAAACTGATGTAAATTTAGTCCTATACACTTCAAGAACAAAACAATGGTTAAATAATTCACACAAAACACTGATCAAAAATCTTATCTACTCACTGAAAATTGGACAAGGAGTTTGATCATTTCTCAGAACAGAGATCCAATGTTTGATCAAAGGATGCGGTGGCACAAACACCTG